ACCAGAGGCGTTTCTGCTCTTCTCGGGCGAAGTTTTCTAGTATGTTACACAATGGAAAGTGTTGCATGAGTTCGAACGTTGTAGCCACATGAAACTGCTGTAGAACTGATCTATCATTATATCTACCGGGGAACGACACAAACTTGTCCGAAGTGAGACGCAATCATGAGATGGTACCTCAGAGCTAGCCGGTCGTTTATTTCAACATAGAACCCATTATTCTTGCATCTATGACCAACATCACGGCATATACAGGCCACCAAGAAGACTGTATGATCCAAGACACTCACTGGCATCCCTGTTGCGTGGAGAAGGTATTCTCCGTGTGAAGTGACCTGAAGTAAAGAGTTGCTGCTGGTGATGGTGATGCACTGTCTCTACTACCGGGCTGCATGTAATTGATTATGGTACTCGACCTCGGTGTAGGTGTCCGTTATCCGAGTCAAGCAATGTCTCAAAGTATTCGCTCTATTCTGAGGGCGTCAAAAACTGGTACAGGTACCAACTAACAAGAGTTCGTTGTCAATTGTGATTGATTGAGACTGTTGTATAACTTGACTGCCTATCAATGGTAGAATAGGCACGTTGGGTAGATGGATCTCTTGCAGATCGGTCAGTGAGCGATGTATTCTCATTTTTTTCTAGTCTGTCCCTATGTTATTCCCATAGTAGTGAGACACGCTCCATCGTGACGTGACGTAGTTTCACGCAGGAGCGCTATGCACATGCGTGCTGCGCGCTGAAGCTCATTGCTCATTAGTCGATTAACTTTCGTCTTCTTCGTCCCGACTTCCCTATGCCTCCTGCGCGTCGTGTTCCCGGGAAGTCCTCTAACTCGAACTCTAGGTCACAGGGCTCTAACAGCGCCAACAGCTCAGCTTTTGGTGGGACGAGCATCTTGTTGACCACGATACTTTCCTCCATCGGGTAAGGGCACCTTCGATAGGGCGCTCAAACCTCGATACAAAGAACCGACGCCAGTGGCAGAAGGGGACGAAGATCCATTAAGATGATCACCGAGCGAAGAACGGTAGCCGTGGGGGACAACATCATCGGATGAGTGCGAACGGGGATCAGCCGCTACTGCTAGGTTGGGAGCGTTCGGCGGTCCATTTTCGTGGCCAGCAAAAGTGGGAGCCGGGGTACCGCTTGAGAAATGAGTTCCCAGCAGTGAGTGCTGCTGCATCACAGATGGCGGGGTATGCCATACCTTCTCTGGGGCATTGCCAGTGTCGTCGGGTTGACCGAACATCGCGATTGGCGGGGGTACCCTCGTCGTACGGTACCGACGTAGTTGAACTCTAAGTATGAGATCGGGAAGGTCGTTGTCTTCAAGAAACCACAGATCGGCCTCCTCCAACTCGTGGTCTTGGAGGAAAGCTTGAAGGGCTCCAAAACCAGCACCGAGGGGAGGTTCTTGGGGAACCTGCTCGCTAGGGGCGGCCGCGGAGGTGTTGGCGATACCGTCATCGTTGCCTTGCCCGGGTTCTCCACCAAAAGCTGAGCTGTTGGCGCTGTTAGAGCCCTGTGGACTAAGAAGTTCGAGTTAGAGGA